ATCAAATATAGCAATCTTGGAAATAGTTTTTGCTGAGGGGGCTCTTTCACTTCTGTTCCCCTTTGAGGAATTTCAGAAATGAGGCTCCCTCCTGGTAGACTTCCCACTCCCTTTTTACAGTTTTGTTAATTGATATTTATAAGTATTTACCAAAGAGCTGCCAAAGTCTATTCAGATTTGAATGTTGACAAGTATTGTTTAGAAGTTGTTTAATTTATAACAGAGGCTATGGAGATTTGTAAGGTTTATATTTGAATTTGAGGCACAACAAAAATAGTTTAGTTTCAAGATACAACTTTGTGTATTAATATATTCAATATTTGACTTTAATTTTCTGTGTCGATACATTTCAACTTTTAAATATTATTGTGACACACAGCATTAATTCAGAATAATTGTTCCATCTCATTCATTTATTCACTACTGTTATAAAGATTTTTTTCCATAAATTGGAAACAACTGATAAAAGTGTTCCCTTGACCTCTAGAAAAAACTCCCCTTGTGCTTTGATATATAAAGCAGGTTTTACCAGTTGCAGACAACATATTGCAGTTGGTTTGTCCCACTCTTGTTTTGCATGTTAGAAGGGCTTTCTTGTCTTGTAGAAAGACAGGGCTGAGGGAATCAGCAGTCACGTTACAACATCAGAAGATGGAGAAAGTAATCTTATATGTTTGGGCTGGCTGCCCAGCATCTATTAGGCCTGCCTGTTAGGCTCACTGCTGTATCTTCAAATCTTGCCTTCAAAGAAAACAGGCGAACGGCAGTCCTCTGACTTGAACAGTATCATTCTGTCACTTCTGCAGTTAAGCTAAGTCAGTGACCCTTCCTTCCCCAGAGGCAGTAACAACTTAACACGTGCTGCTGCTTTGCATTGAAGGGCAAGTCACATTTCTACAGATTATGCTATAAATATGCAACTGTTTCTGCTTTTATGGTTTTCTGAAGTACACATTAAATTACATAAATTTGATATTTTGTTATCTTGGGGCAATTTAACTGATTTCCTTAGCTCCATTTACGTATGCTAAAAAAACCTGTAGTTCTCTTCACCCTTCACAGTATCTTAGGACATAATTTATATATGCAGTTGTGTACTTCCATCAAAAGCTGAGTGCGTCACATCGTTGTCATCTCCTAGGGGACTGCAAATGCATACACTCATTGGCTTACTGGCAAACAAACTGTCCTGGTTCTGCAAGAGTTGTGTCTGAAACACAACATACTAGCATTATATTTATAGTAGCAAAATACATGATGACAGTACTTTTTTAAATTCTCAAATGCTATCAAAACATTATTTATAAAATAATCCACTCTTCCTTTAACAGTATATGATTAGCCACAAGCTGCAGTTGGATAGAGAAATAACTATAGTTGAGTTTTATATTGTGCTTTTTTCTGTTCTGGTCATTAAACAGTACTTGGACATTTTAAACAGCAGTGGTACTTATAATCTTTGTGCTTCAGTATGTGAATTACCTTGTTTTAAACTGTTGCTATTAACATCTGTGTGATTGGTGTTTTGGTATATTCTTACATTAGCAAAACAAATTTATTTTGGGAGCTTTTGCTAGTGGGAGTTACATGATAAATATGTTCTTTGTTGAGTATTTAATTACAGTGATTAAAAACTACTGTCTAAAATGTACCTAGTATACAGCACCTCTACACTTTACAGGATTATGGAGTTTGACAGCAAAGTACTGCAAAGATCACAAAAATGCTCCAAAAATGTAGTGTGTGTGTGTATATACATATATATATAGCTAACCACAGTAATGTGTATTAACAAAAATAATTACTAGCAGAAGCTCTGAAAAATACTCTGAAGTACAATTACAAATGCTCAACACATTTTCATGAATTCTGTGTTCCCTGTGGTAAATTGCTCTGTTAAATGTAACAATTTTGTAGCTTGTGGCACATGATATTTATGACTGTATACTTTACAGAACTGCAGTATTGAAAATCAGTGGCGTACAACATTCCTTATATACCCTGTGGAAGGTGGTGTTGTATTAATGAAATAAATACACCTGCCCTTAAGAACTTACCTTTTCTCTCATTCCATCTTAGGTCCGTCCCTGGGGGCCCCTTTTAGCCTTCAGTGCTCACAGTAATCTCTATGAAGTAGAGATCGCTCTAGAGATAGTTCTAGATATCCAGAGCTAGATATGGACTGGATAACTCTAGTCTAGAGACAACTCCAGAGGACTTTTTGTGGACTTGGGGAACAGAGGCATGCAGACTCTTGGCCGTAGTCACTGGGAAGCGTGCAGCGGAGTTGGGCACAGTGAGCCCCAACTTCACCCTAAATACTAGATAAGGCTCTGAACTGAAAAGTGGCAATGTTATCTGCAGATGAGGCACGCTACAGTGCCCTGCAAAACTGCCAGGCCACAGGAACAGACGGGGCCAATTCATTGCTGTTGCCTGGCTCTTGGAGGTGGTCGTGGTCGTTCCCATGTTCGTTGTCACGTCCGCACCTCCTTTTACTTACCTCTTTAACCCAAATAAACAACTCGTCCGTACCTATTTTATGAATAGCAGCAGTCTTTTTAAAACACGCCGGTACATGCGGTTCTTACGCTCTCAGGCTTTTACAGGCGATGGTTGTGAGAGCGAAGCCGGGCTTTCACTCTTGCGGCGACAGCCCTTTCTGCCCAGGTCGGCCTCTCGCCGCCAGCCCACGCTCTGGCCCCCGCGGCAGCGAGCACGCGTTGGTCCAGGCACCCGCCGTCGCCTCCCGCTCCGGCAGGAGAGCGCCGGCCCG